AAATCTACGGACCGTTCCGAATCGGACGAACTTTCGTAGCCTTCTTCGTCCTCGGAATTGTTCTCTCGTTGAAACGCTCTCTCGAGTTTCTTGAAATAATTCAACAGGTCCTTCTTTCTTAAGATTTCCTCGCCGGGGTGTTTCGTTGTTCGACCCCCGCATCTATCCGTGCGTGGTGCTCCCTTTATGTTTTCCGGCTCACTCATGCCACGCACTAAACAACCAACTCCATTGATTTCGTATGCGTATGAGAGTACGTTGTTTAGCTGGCTCGGTGGTATCGGCTCGGCCGACAATTGTACGCAGCGATACCGCGAGTAACGTGCACCCAATATCCTAATACAATAGTACAATCAAAATCTCGATAACTTCCGTATTATACAATGGACAATAGGGTCAAATGTAACGAAACACGACGCGTGTAAAGTAAAGCACAGCGATAGTCGAATGCCTTCGACGGAGTAACTGTAATTTTTCGATAGGCTTGGAATCTTACGGGCGTTTTGTCCTGCGTACTAAAGTAATCCGATATCGTTTGCGGCGTCACATTTCAATGGCACGCTGTACTTTTCCTGGAACATATAAATTTGATATGTTAGGTTACGAGAGGACGACGACGACTGCGACCTATTCGATGCATCGCGACATTTGCGAAGTTGGGTAAATTTTCGCGAGATCGATAGTCATTTGCGTTAAGTAACTCCTTCGTGTCCGTACCTACAGTCTGTGTAATAAGTATTCGTACAGGAGTCGGTTCAAAATAAAACTTCATATATTTATTAATCAATTTTAGAGGAAGAAATAATTAACCAACATTCCTACACATTCTCGTACACAGGTAGTCTTAAATATAACGTCATCAACAGCGGATGATTCTTTGCTTGTAAACGAATCGAAAATGAAGAATGATATTTTTTCATAGGAGACTTCGTTTTCGTAAACATAAATCAAAAGGTTTGGCTAACCATGTCTGACCACGACTGACCAGTTCCATTGATTCTGACATTGTATAATGTACCATACGTCTTCTATACAAACTGCAATTTTTTAAATGATTACAACTAATCGAAATGGACACTAACATAACAGAAGCAACATACATAAAACTTCATACATTAATTTTATTTATAAATTTTAGGGGAACAAATAATTAACCAACATTCCTACACATTTTTACAGTAGATTTTGTTTTGTAATAAATATTCATACAGGAGTCGATTCAAAACTCCATACATTTATTTTATTAATAAATTTTAAGGGAACAAATAATTAACCAATATTTCTCAACATTTTTACAGTAGATTTTGCCTAAAATTAAATTTTATCACTTTCAACGTTAACTTCTTATTTTTTTTCTTATCACTTTTACTTTAAATCGGTTGCTGTATATACTTCTTACACTGACTGTAGATTCAGCGATATTTCTTCGACTTTAACTTCAGGTATCGGTTTGTTTCATTGCGAGTCTCTTTAAAGGTGTTAACCGCGGGTCAGATGTCGCGATATCGAAATAGTACATTATTTGTACAGTCTCCCAAATCCAACGAAACACGGTCGAGAATATGAGCTGTTCTTGTAAGTCATTCATTGCGCGATTATGTACTTTTACGACGCAATATGCCTGATGCTTCTTCGAGAGATCGGTTCATCGACGACACTATCGAAAGAATTAACGATCTCAAAGAAGACATTCGAAGATTCATCGAGACACGCCCGATTGAAATCGCAACGATTCTAACCGCTTGCGGTGTTCTTTATTGGATTCGACGGTACGCTTCTACGTAAATAAATTGCGAGTATTTCGCGCGTGCAAAGGAAACAAGGTAAATGTTCTTATTGCGTCGGCAATAAACTTGCTTTACGATAATAACGAATAAAACATTAGTTAACATTAGCGTATCCGCTGTATTCGACGACCGTTTATAATCTTCCGTTGCGCTTACGAACTCGGTTTCCATTCTTTCAGCTTCTCTAAAGCTCGACTCGATTCTCGTGACGGAGTACACAGTTTCGAAGCCTAAAGTCGCGACGCAAATACGTGAAGTAAATTGGAGAAATTAGCTGGCACCAAATACACGCAATCACGCAATCGTGTACGGAAAATGTAGACGTTCGGGTTGCGCCAGATTTCCCTGGATTCAGCTTACGAAAAGGAGGAGCTTTCCGCGACTCGAGCAAATTGCATTTTGTATAAAAACCGGGAGCAATTCGAGTCCCGAGCGTGCGCGCGGCAAGGTGATTTCAGATACATAATTAGTCGGTTGCAGGAGGTGTAACGATGATTATTTACGCGTCGCCGGCGACTACAAGTGTACAACGAGACGAACAACAGGAAACCGATAAGGAGACGTTGCTATTCGACTGCTTCGCCACGCGTGTTGAACTCGGTTCCCGTAGTTCGCGTAAGAATTTGGCCCGGTAAGAAGGGGCTATGGACGAATAAAATTGAGAAAGCAACGAATCCGTTTCGCGCCTTGTCAATTATCGATACTTTGAAAGGTCATCGAGGAGTTCGATTTGCTGTCAGGATTTTCCGAGATCCAATTAGCGAGGTTGTATAATATCAAATTAATAATATATTCGTTACGTCCTATTGTAACGTCGCACGTGCATCGTATTATTTGCCGCGCGTCATAGTTCTCCGAGGCGTGTATCGTTGCGGTTGGGTTCGAAGAATACGAACGTACTTCCCGAATCGAAGTTTTTTTAGCAGGTGATTAAAGGAACGTTACTCGAGTTGGTATTTTCTTTTAATTTTGTTCCTAGCGAACGGATGGTCGTCGCTTAGGTCCAGATGTTTTCGGTTCGAATCCCGGTCGTTCAACAAATATAAGTATCGAAAAGCCTATATGACATAAGATATACATTGGAAAAAATAAAAAAGACATTAAAACAAAGAGATCTTGGTAAGATAAGTGACAGAAAAGTGCAAAAACAAATAATGGGAGCGAAGAGTCAGTAGCTCCCAGTTAAGCACTATAAAGACATAAACCGAAACCGCTTCTGAAACATCACTGTTAACGTCGATCACGCTCTAAATTTCTACGAATGCCGCAAGACACGTTTTCACGGTTTACGCTGGTGTACGGTGCTCTTATGGAAAACTTCCTCGTACCACGAATGTACAACTAGCTCCCCCGTACCGAAAGGGTTAATCTTGTTCTTAGCGAACGGGTAGTCGTCGCTTAGGTCCCGGATGTTTTCATACGGTACGATGCGAAGGTGCCTTAAAGTTAAAGGTAATCGTAAGGGTAAACGTAAAGGTCAGCCTTCTTTCGTATCGTGGGGAGCAGTCCTATTTCGAAGGATGTAACATAAAAGATTGATTGCCGTTACGAGGAGAAAAGCAACGATTTGGAACTGTTTCGGGCTGCTTTTCGCGTACTCTCTTTCATTCTCCTTTTCAACCAAGCCCGATGCACAGCTGTAAAACGCATCGCTGCACGCCGTACAATGAACGTACCTATTTCTGTTCCATCGTCGTACCGAAAATATCTCGATACGTAACGAGTGCCTCGAAATATCTTATTCTGATGTATTGGTTATTGGGGTTCGAAAATAATTATTACTCAGTTATTTCCTTGTATAGGACACACTTTATTTCGACCAGAGAGTTAGGAGCTGCGATGTTGCTCTCGAGAAGACTACGTTCGAACCGAGTATTTCGACGTCAGTGGAAAAATGCAACGAAAACTATCGGTGTCCTTTTGTCTCAGAAATAGGTCTGCTGACTTTCTCTTTCAAGCCATAAACTAAGTCCAAGAGACTTTTTCCGGCGTTGGTTTATTTTTGACCGTCGGGGTCTTAGACTTTGAGTCGCCAAGGTCCCGAAGTATCCAACATGATGATAACGTTTCTGCTTTGTAAATCAATTTCCTCGTTTAAGTTTCGAACCGACGAAAAGAAACTTTGTCGACAACTGGAAGGTGAGGTATAGGGAACGCGATTAATATACGGCGCGGCGTATTAACCCTCGACTCGTTGAGAAAAAAAAAAGTTTGCTGGTTGCGAATCATCGATTTTAAGGGAAAGTATGTAGTACGGAGCAGGCTCGTTTCCAACGATTACACGAGTGACCGATCCGTGAAGAAAAGCTGGTTCACCGCAGAACCTATACGACGTGACACCACCTGAGGCAACCCTGGTGCTGTGTCTCCCTTGTCTTCTCACCGCCCGAAACCCCGTCGATCTATCCTTTTTCTCTCCTCCCATCCCCCATTTGCCATCGGTCTCTTTATCGGGTGAGTCGAGGTTAGGAGGGAATCCTCGCTCCGCTTACTCGACGTCACCCAACGAGCTGAGCTGACCTCGACGATTCGTAACGTCAGCCTGTTCGTTAACGCGAACCTTTTACCGATCGGTTTCGAGATTTTTCCACCAAAGATACACGCGAGACAACGGAACTTCTCCTTTTCGCGACAGCTGATACTCAAACGCCGAGAAACTGGTGAACCAAATATTTTATCGCGTCGGAGAGATACCGTTGGAAGAAACCACGAGAACAGAGCCGTGCATCGAATTACACTGTCGAGGGCAGATTTAATTAAGTCACCGAATCGACGGGGTTTGCCACGGGTTTACCACGAACGTTGCGTGTACGCGTTACACCTCAATTTGTGGTTTTATTCTATATCGAACGTTTCTCCAAATATGGAGAAGACCATCGATGCTCGACTCGGTAAAATGTCCATCAAAGATTTCCAGAGATTCGACTTGACAACGAGCAAATTATCTTCTAGCTGGACGACACGCGGAATTGGATTTCGCATATCGAAAGTGCTCGAGCGTATCGACGTCTCGGTCGCGGAGGCGATCGATTTTGATGGATGCATATAAAATTCGAAGTTTTACTCGTGACAGGCGACGTAGATCTTCTTGGCCAATGAACTCGGATATCTTTTCGATGTTTGTGAAATACGTAATCGACAGTCCAGATCCTCCTATCCGTTATCTTGCTGAATAAAAAGAAAACTGACAAACTATTTGTATCTTTGTTGCAGAATGATCGTTCGTTCGATCCTTTTGTTGGTAGTGGCGATCTCATTGACGTTTGCCGATGACACCTCGTCGGACAATGCTCCTTCCGCCAAACGTGCATCTATGGGCTTCCAAGGAATGCGCGGAAAAAAGGACTTTGCTTCCTCGGAACACGGGCAACCATCTAAACGGGCTCCCATGGGCTTCCAGGTGAGGTATACGACGAGTACCATTTTGAATTTTGCAATTGTAATATCAGATTCGAGGTTTGGGGCTCAAATAAATCATAAATACCAAGTTTCATGAACATCTAATAACTTTTTAATATACATGTCGGCCATATTGGATCCGCCATTTTGAATTTTGCAATTGTAATATTAGATTCGAGGTTTGCGGATCAAATAAGTCATAAATACCAAGTTTCATGAACATCTAATAACTCTTTAATATACAGGCCGGCCATATTGTATCCACCATTTTGAATTCTAAAATTCTGAAATCAGATTCGGAATTTTCGACTCAAGTCAGTCAAAAATACTAAATTTCATGAAGGTCGGAATACTCTTTCTAATTTTGGTCGCGATTTTAGTCATCCGAACCACTGTAGCCGATGCACAAGTAGATATGGTCAGTGCGTGGTCAGACGCGTAGGTACAGACAATGTTTTCCTTGTTCTCTTTATCGAGTGCCATCGTAATCCATAGTTTCCATGATTATCATAAAAATCTAATAACTTTGTAATATACATGACAAAGTTTGCGGCCCAAATAACTCAAAAATACCAAGTTTCATGAAGATCCGAAAACTCTTTCTAATTCTCGCCACATTTTTGGCCATCCGGACCACTGTGTATCGACTATGGAGCGTTTCACAAGAGTCCTCAACCGGTCAACATCTCTTAGCCTCCGTATCTTAACGTTAACTTTAATAATAAACAGTTCCTTAATTTTGCAAGCGATCGAGACCTTAATTAAAATTAAATTCCTCAATAGTTTTCCTATTTCATTTGATCGTTTCACAACGCCTTCGTGGTTGCTCGTTGCGTTCGCAGGGTATGCGTGGAAAGAAAGATTCGATAACAGCCGACGTCGAAAACGAACTTTTTCCTGAGGAGACTAACAAGCGAGCCCGAATGGGATTCCAAGGTATGAGAGGTAAAAAAGACCAGCTGATACCTGATTTCGAGGATACCTATCTTCCCGACGACGTGTACGAGAAAAGGGCACCGCTGGGCTTCCAGAGCACGAGAGGGAAAAAGACTTTACCATCGGATGAATACTACAAACGAGCCTCAATGGGATTTCAAGGGATGAGAGGCAAAAAATCTTTCGAAGAGGTAAACAGTTTCGATTGCTATGCAAATGAAAAAGTTGCTTCATTCATTCCTGTATTAATGCGTACTCTACTTTACAAGAATCGCATGACCGTATCGATATCGTACAGATTTTAGATGAAATCGAAAGGAGGGCCGCGCTGGCAGGTTTGCAAGACCCAAACAGCAAGGAGACGTACTTGCTCGACTATCCGGAAGACTACGAGAAAAGGATACTAGCAATGGGATATCAAGACGTGCGCGACAAGAAGGACGAAATCCTAGGAGAATGGGAGAAGAGGGCTCCGATGGGGTTCCAAGGAATGAGAGGCAAGAAAACGATCTTCGACGCGATAGAAGAACTTGAGAAACGTGCCGCTTTGGGCTTTCACGTGAGTAAGAACGTTAACCGCTCTCGGACTTCGTTTCTGCGATACGTTAAATTACGTAAGAGTTAAAAGAGAAATCTGTAAAAAATTGACAGGGTATGCGAGGCAAGAAGGATATGTTCGACAATTACGTAGATTACTCGATCGATCCGTCCGATTACGCGAAAAGGGGTACAGACTTTCAAGGTACGGACGGTGGCGAATCGTTCAAAAGGGCTCGAATGGGTTTCCACGCTATGAGAGGTAAAAGGGACGCATCGCAGATTTACGGACCTAGTTCGAGTATCGCCAGATCGACGATAAACTATCAAGGTAAATGGATCGGGCCCACTGCTACCCCTTACAGCTCGGTGTACAGTCCCTGAGGGCTCTAAGGGTTCTAAGGAGAAGGTACGAATGTAGAAATCGCTTTTGGAACGACACCCTATGGAAGTTGTAGTGCGCATGTAGTACTGCAATACCATTTTAGCTGTTTTCAGAATGGACCTTCGTTTTCGAGATATTTTGGTTTAAATTTTGGTATATGTGTTCTTCACACTTTATCTACCGGGCTGTTTAGAAACAGTCTTTAATTCAAAAAAAGAATTCTCGAACGAGCAGTGATACATCATTTTGAAGGATAAACAAGATTTATTCATTCTTTTGTGAACTTTAGATGTATGTTTACACAATAATGTGTTCTTCATCATATGGTATCCTTCGGTAACTTTCTTCTTGCCATTTTGGAGTATTGTTTTTGAAATATTTTAAGAAACCAGAATGCCTAATTACGCTTAAACACAATTTGTAAAATATTATTTGGAATTCTACCAAGTATTTTCGACTATTTGGTATTTATTACAATCTGTTACAGAAACAATAACAATATTCAATATATTTGTCTTTGAAAAATTTAACATGTAGATATTTGTTGTTATGTTACAACCTGATACTCTACCAATTGACCCAACGAACTTTGTTAGGTGCTTCTACACCTAATGCTAGTTATTATACATTTCTTAAGGACACGTGCAGAAAACTTTGAACCAAAATATTTCCGAAACGAAGGCCCATTCTGAAAAAAGCCAAAATGGTTTTGCAGTGCTACATGTTTATACAACCTCCATAGGGTGTCGTTGAAAAAACGATTCCCATATCCGTGCATTCTCCTTCGAGAGAAACAATTTTTGCATACGTTAACGGCTCACGTTTCCTGCATTTCCTATTTACTTATTGTACATCTGTTTCCAGGGACGAACAATCGAGGAAACGAATTGGCCACCTACGAAATCGAGAAACGATCGCCGTTCAGATATTTCGGTGTCCGCGGTAAAAAGAATCCGCGATGGGAGTTTCGAGGCAAGTTTGTGGGGGTAAGAGGCAAAAAGTCGTTACCTTTGCAAGCTCGTGCCACCTTTTAACGCGTCTAATTAACATCGAAAGGATGCGCATGAATGGAAATTTGTTGACGTCATTAGGTAATTCGGTTTATTCGATGGTATTTGTTCAGGCGTAAATCTAATCAACGGAATATATATGTTGTACAAAATTCATTGTGAAATATAGAATAAAATTTTTAGATATTCAGCGGTGGTATCGCTGCTCTCGTTGGTAACAATTGCAACGACAACAACTACCATCGATAACAACAATAGCAGCAACAGCCAACTGTGTAATTCTAGTCTCCTCGTTTAAACTGATCCACTTAACTCGAATAGAAATGCGAAAACAGGGTGCATCGATTGTATCGCGAGACTATCGGCTATCGTCGTTACATTTCGAGCGTTCGAAATTGTTGAATACAATATTTTCTCGCTCTAAAATTTCATTCTCATCTGTGTGCACACCCTATATACATATACGGTCGATGAACTCGACAAATGTGTCGTTCATGATGTTTATTACGTTCTGGCAGGAATAAGGAATGATCGAAGTGAACGAATTATTCGGTAAAAACTACAAATTTGTTTAATTTCGTTCGATATCGCGACCGCGCCAAGAAAACTTTCCCTTTTCGTTTAAAACTTTTAGTGTTGAACAGCATACGAGATGCAACCCACAGCAGACGAATGATGTGAGAATAAATGGATATATTAAATCGTGATAGATAGGAATCATATTTTTCTCGGAATGTTAAGACGTCGATATGTATATAATAAACGTTCTCGATGAAATGACGAGTCGTATTACTTGATCGTCGCACTTTCGAACGATCGCAAAGTCGTGTCGCGCATGATTTTCAAAGGTATCGTGATTCGATAACGAAACTCGTACAAATTTGCATCATGAACGCAAAAGATCCTCTGATAAATAAATACCGACGCGCTTCTATACGGTAGTTGGCTTGTTAGAAAATTACAGAATATGGGCAAGTTCGTTGTGCGAATATATGTACATTTATAAAAATAGATGAAAAGATCGACGACATGAAAATGTGCATTTAGTTTTTGATGCAAAAAAAAAAACAAACAAATAGTATCACCGTAACGACTGTACGGCATCGATGGTTAAGAACCCTAGACTTCGAATAAATTTGAAGTTTACCGATATGTTTGTCTCGTTTCCCCTTTTGAACATTTTCCAAAGAAGACGAGACAAACACATCGGCAAACTTCAGATTTATTCGAATCACAGGGTTTTACCCATCTCTATACGGTCGATGTGTCCGAAGCTTAGCATTTTCGTTCTTAAACATTCGACATTTCGCGGTATCGATTCTCTTTTATTCTTGTGTCACGAGAATCACTAGATGGCTTATTGTAGATAATTTATAAAATCTGTATAACCATCGTCTTTTCGTACTGTCTCCAATGGCGATATATGTATGTTCGTACAAAATTTGTATGTACGCGATATGTTGCCGGCGAACCAAAGAATAGTATAAATATTGCATAAGTAACTCGATATCGTCGTTAAATATTAAGCACGCGACCGCCACGATCGATGCAGGAATCATTGGTAATTGGCCTTGTTGCATTATTGCGAATAAACGGAATAATGGACAAGGTATGTGGGTAGGTGTGCGAACGTGTACGCAAAGTAACAAATTTATCGTGTATACATACATCATATATTGTTTGGTAGATACAATGTATGTCTATGTACCTACCGCTAATCAAATACATATCAATAAAGTCAATGCGTCGTCTTAATGGAACGTACCGATACTTACAACTATTTACTGTTTGCAGCATAGCGATTACCGCGAATACCGTAAGAAGAGAAATCCTCGGAGCACGTACTAACGCTTACGTTTTATCCAAATTTAATAAACGGAAGCTGGAAATTAAAAAACATCAATGAGTTTCAAAGCAACGCAAGAATTACCGTTAAATAATTTAATAAATCATTTACCATTTTATCTATTGGTTTTACTTGTCACATTCCCGCTCGAGCGGACAAGAAATATCCTTTGTTGCCAAGAAATATCAATCGATAGCCCTTAAGTAATCTAACCTCAACGTAAATATCGCGAGAGTTAATGCTAAGCAAGTATGAATATTTAAAAATTTCCGAATAATGCTATTCTTTTCGGACAGAAAAAGATTAACGGATTCAACGCGAAAGCGTTACGAGAAATTGTTAGAATTTAAGCAAACAAATTTAACATCAAACGGTCTATAAAAAGGAAACGTTATCGATATATTGCGATCAGGCCAATCAGTAGAGCATTTTTGTATGACAAAAATAGTAACAGCAAACCGATTGTGCAGTTACATAGAGGGGGATGCGTAGATTAATAGGTATATGTTTTTCACTCCCAACTCTGTTCCGTTTTCTTGTTATTTACAATTTAATGGTAAAAAATCGTGATTTTTGTCGTATTTTGGTTATAAATTTTAAACTAATGCAGCACTATTAATGCTCCACGGAGATAAAATATAGGCGATGAAAATACCTACAGAATGAGACCTCGAACGTCTTTCAATCCCCGTTTTCTGCACACATAAAGAACATATCAATCACTACTTGTTCCCAAAAGGTCATCGCTTCAGTTTAAAAAATGGCGAAGATACGAATTTTTGAAAAAACGCTGAATTTTCCGGTTTTCCAGATTTTTCTCCGTTCCTCATTATCCGATCGAGACGTTCGAGATTTCATTCTGTAGGTATTTTTATCGCCTACATTTTATCTCCGTGGAGCATTGATAGTGCTGCATTAGTTTAAAATTTATAACCAAAGTACGACAAAAATCACGATTTTTTACCATTAAATTGTAAATAACAAGAAAACGGAACAGAGTTGGGAGTGAAAAACGTATACCTATTAATCTACGCATCCCCTTTTATGTAACTGCACAATCGGTTTGCTGTTACTACTTTTGTCACAAAAACGATGTTTTAATTCTCTAGCGATTGGCTTAGATAGTTGCGAACGAAGCTCGTACAACGCTTGTGCGAATTCAACAAATTTAGAGAAGAATAAATAAATGCCTGTTCCGTGAGACGAAATTTATGACTACTATGACGCGACACTGCACTGTTAGAATAGTTATCCCGCTAATTTTGCAATGTTGCCAACCTCTATGTTTCGTTTACCTCTAGGCTTCGCTTGGTGTCGGAGCTGGTGACTTTCTTCTAGGATGGTAGGAGTGAATGTTCCTAGTTGTTCATAGAACTCCGTAGATGGAGTTGGCTACTCTTCGACGAGACTTGGTGACAGTAGAGTGTACAGTGCACAGTTCCTAACCTGCAAACGTTAACCTGTCAAAATTGTTTAAACCGTAATTTCCATTGGGTAAGTTTGTCACTTGTGAATATATATCAATTTAGAATGAATATATCTTATTATTCGTTCAAGTATACAATAATATATCACAATATACACAATGCAACTGTATACACAAACCCAAAATGATCTCGATCACCCATTTATTTACATATAATATATCGCTCGATGTATTTCGTGTTTTTGTTGAAATTGTGTACTATATGCATTAAATAATTGCGTAATAAGTGAAGTGAAAAACAGTTTTTGTTTTCGTCGTAATCTTAGACCTTTTGATCTTTGAACGTCTCGTATCAGATGTTTTTTTAAGAAATAGTTACAAGAGAGACGAATAGTTACAAGAGAGACTAAATCGTTAACGAACTTATTCGAGAAATGTTCAATTCATTGTTAACTGTAAAAAAAATGTTGCTAGAATATTGTTTCGGGTCTGTTTTATCCACTCGAGGAAAAGAAGACGTTCTTCCTTTTGCAGAATTGGCGGGAACATCGAACTATTGATTCTTGAAACGAAACTGGCTCGTTTTTTTATTTCTTTTCCCTTCCGACCGATCGAGTGCTATTTCCTTGATTTGTCCATAGAGTGTTTTCTTGTCAGCCATTGGCATTATTCTACGGTAACACACCAATTGTAATAATAATAATAATAATAATAATAATAATAATAATGATGATGATGATGATGATGATGATAATATTTAAAAAGGAAAAGAGAGGAGTGAGAAGACAAAATGAGAAGAAGAATTCTCGTTTTAACGTATCGATATTATACGTAAATTTTTATTTCTTTCGAATATTGTTTTCTACATTTACCGTGATTACTTGTTGTTATTGTATGGATCGTGTAGAGTAAAGCAAGACGAAGGTTACAAGCAAAGAAAAGTGATGTTCAAGACGTTAAAACGTTGACATTACAGACCAATCGTTATCGTTGTTGGCAACTTTATCCCTCTGCGCGTAATCATTTTCATTATTTATGCGTGAAATGCTCTTTTTTCGTGCCACGTTGTTTTTATTAGCGATTCTTCCAATCTCTTCTTCGCTCGCAATTCCATCTTAAAAAACGTACAAATGTTAACGTTTAAATTTCGAAATCCATGATATTTTTACTCGTTAGTGATTGGTCTGCGTACGTTTAAGTCACTTAATAGTTAGTAATTCTTCGTTCGAATTTTGAATACTTAAGGGGTAACACCACACTAGAGGCTGAAAAGAGGCCTAACTTTGATAATTAATTTTGAAAGTATCGCAAAAGGAATACGATTTCTTTTTACAGGGTTTATTTAATACATTCTGTTGTATACACGAAAATTATTGTGTTATAATTTTAGTACAAAATGGCGACGACGAAACGAGTCGAAAATTGACTTTTTAACCGACTTGGAAAAGGAGGAAGTTACTCATTTTTACATGTATATTTTCTTTTTTCTTTTTTTGTTTGGTTTTTTAAACGCCTTCACGGGAGAACGGTTTTCTGGTTGTGTATAACATTTGGGACAAAAAACCAACAAATTTTGTAATATACTGCTGTCTATAGAAGTACGTAGCGGTTTTTTTTTATTTAATGTAAACTTTTTATTAACAATTTACTGTTATTTTTTAGCCAAGACGGTGGTTGGTGCGCTATTTATACAATATTTGATTTAAAACACGAAACCTTACGCACTTCTATAGCCAATAGTACATAGATTATAAAATTTTTAGGTTGTTCCAGATTTTATAAACAATGAAAAAACCGTCCTCCCGTGAAGGTGTTTAAAAAAAAGTCAATTTTAAAGACTCGCTTTGTCGTCGGCATTTTGTAGTAACATTATAATACAACAACTTTTGTTTATACTTCGATGTGTGTTAAATAAACCCTGTTAAAAGAAATCCTATTTCTTTTGCGATACTCTCAAAATTAATGATCAAAGTTGGGCCTTTTTTTCAGTCTCTAGAGTGGTGTTACTCTTTAATACGATGTCATGCATGTCACTGACCTTGCATGATGCCAGATATATTAGCGCCAATTGGCGAAGGTTCTACCATTAGGATAAATCGCTTTCGATCGAGTTCTTGGTCTGCTCTCTTCCCAGACCACATATACCATCCTTGATGTTTTTTCTCAGACTTCTCTCGTACCGTTCGGTTGAGAATATTCGCTGAAGAATCCGATTTTTCTCGTTTACCGTTGCCGGGGTAAAACAACTGACGAATCGGTTTACGATCTCTCATTTTCACATCTCCCCACGCGTATATCAAGTCATTATTTTCCCGAGAGGGGAATTCATCAAATTCCTTCAACGGAGAATAATTTCAAACGATCGTCAACTTAACTTAAAGGTCCCATACACGATACGATCGGTCGTACAACTTGTCGTGCGACAAATTGGTTCGTTGAGTCCCTTCGACCGTTTAAATGAGAATTGTATTGACTGTGGCGTGTTTTCGTACCACCCTATACACGATAAGATCCGTCGTACGACAAGTCGTACATGTCATGTCGTACATACAAGTCGTAGGACAGATCGCACAGTGGTTCATTTTGCAAGAAACCTGGCCAAAATTCAATTTCTAAAGTACGCGGAATCCGTAAACTGCCGTAGTGGACTTATTATATATGTAACACCGCAACAAAAATATTTGTGTTCTTCAAATATAATAGTTATTTTCTGAGAAAACACTTTAAAGTTGACGATTTGTCTCGTTTCCTTAATTTTCACATTCGATGCAAGATATTACCGCGATTACGTAGTGTTCGATATCATTTTTATCGGAAAACTGGTGATGCCCGTACGATAAGTCGTACGACAGATCGTATCGCGTATGGAACGTTTTAGAGAGCAGCGAAATATCTCTAGAAATACTTGATCTTACCGGAACCAAATGCTTAAACCATGATCCTGTACCTTTCCTTTTCCTTTCGACGATCCTTACGTTCGAGTCGGTCGCGCGATTGTAGTTGAATCTTTCACTGTCCTGCGCGTCATCGAAGTTACTGTTTTCTTCTCGTTCATCTAGAATTGAAACGCATCATTTTCGATTACTGTTATTCTGTTTTATCTCACATAGTAGAATTAAATTAAGGGGGCACTATACATTTTTCGAAAAAAATCGATTTAAAACAAACTTTCATAATTGTTCGATAGTTAGAAATGGCAACAATAAAATGTTCGCATGATTTTTGACGTCAGTCAAAGGATAATTTAGCTTTATTGAGTTTGTTCACTTGAGGCATTATCACGAAATTAAAAAAACAAATTGAATAAGACGAGATGGAACCGCAATCACTAGTAGCCACAGGATAATTGTAGAAGACTTCTGGTGGCAGAAGTCAAATGTACGCGAGATATCGATAAAACAAATCGATTCTATGGAAAGATAACGAAAAAGGCTGGGACGACAAAGAAAACGCCTTGTTTTGGTTTTTCTGCTTTTCTTGAAAAATCG